TGCAATACCATTGTTTTTTTTCATACACAACAATAATAATATAAGTTTTTATTTGTTTTTAATTTTCAGTTTTTTGTTTGATCCTTTGTTTATCTGTACGTTTTGTTGTTGTTTGTTTGTTTCTTTGTGCTATAAACTAAAAATTATGTTATTTAAATGACAATATATGTATGTATATAATTTATGTTTCTGTTTATACATTTTAAATAAAATGCCAATGGGCTGTTTTTATATACATATATGTGTTTCTTTTTTTTACCTGCTGCATTTTTTTCTTTGTTTTATTTCTATGATTGTTACTTAAAGACTAGATAAAATGTATTTATACACATAAACTTATATAGATAATAAAAATACTTACATTTACATACAAGTATACATTTATAGAAAAAACGAAACTAAGTCAAGTGTGATGTACACATAATAATATGTTTTACTTAAGACTATATCAAAATGAAAACTATAAATTAAAACATATATGTATATTTGATAAAAATTGTATTCTCTTAATAACTATTTTTGATTTTATTTTATTTATTTTTATTATGTTTTAAAAATATTTTTGTTTTTTATTTTCAGAAAATTATGACTAAAAAATTATTGCCATTTGTTTACAACTTCGTTTGAATTGTTCTAAATCAAATTTTGTTGTAACAAAAACAAAATATGGAAAATATTTGATTGTGGTAAGTGAGTGATGTTCGGTACAAAAAGTAACTTAAATCTAGGAAAATAATTATTACATAGTTATTTATTATTGTATTTAATTTCTTGTTGTTTTGGGGAAACTCATTGGTTTTTGTGAATTCCTGAATTGCGAATTCCTGAATGCAAAAACTATCTCGGAGAAGAAAATTTTTTTGAAAGTTAGTTAAATTTAAAAGTATAAATAGTAAGGGTTTCGGAGGTTAACAACATGTTAGACAATGCAAATAAAATAGTTTTATACAAAGACACATATTTTTTAAAATGTATTTTCACCAATTTACTAAAGAATCTTGAAACGTGAGTCAGAAGTTATGTATAGATTAAGTTATATTCATAAAAATTATATTTTTCTCTGGAAATATATTTTTTATGAATTATGTTAGGTCTGAACAAGGTTCATATATAAGGCCATCTTCTATTTACATTTCAAAATCTCTCGAAAAGTATTTTAACAACTTTCCACTATTTTTCGACTTATGACTTGACCATTTTGTGCAAAAATTATTAATGTATCAACTAGAATCAATCCAATTTGTGATTTCCTTCCTTAATTCTTAATATGTGTGTTGTTGAAAAAGTTTAATCGTCAGAAACAGTTTTTTTTTTTTCAAAATTCCGACATTCTGTAACAACACCTTCTATTTTGGTAGAGATTTTGGTTTTCAGATATTCCTGAGAGCGGAAACCATGTCCGCGCGGGCATGAAGGACTTTTCTTTCATAAAAACGAAAATGTAATTTTTTTAGTATATCCTTCAAATAATAATATAAAAAATTAACATGTACATTCCCATTTAAAACAGAGAAAAATTTTAAATCGTGAGTGGGAGAGGTAGTCCCCATATGTTGAATAATTTGAAATTCGTAAAAGTATTTGCCAGTAATGTTACAGGATTCCATTAGAAGACTTTATCAGATATGTCCCATTCTATGGAGCATGTGAAATTCTCTTCGATTTTGCCAAAGTTTAGCAGTTAATAAAATATCGTCTTGTGGACGATCATAACTGACGAAATCAACTCAACAAAGAAAAGCGGTCAGATTTCCTCAAAAAATGTGCGTCAACGGAAATAGCTAAGAATATACAAATATTACAATTATTGCGCCGGAGTTCGAGAAAGTAAAACTCTTGCTCTTTTGCCATCAAATCCTAATTTTTGTGCAGACGGAGAAAACTAACTCTTCATAAAGAGGAACACAAAGGCCATAAAACGGCGATTCAATAAGTTCGTAAGGACAACATGATCATTAATCTTGTGGACGTCGGAACGTCAATATCCGTTTTTGTAGTATCACAGAGGAATGGAATTCTTAAAAAAAATATTTCCAAGTCTAAATTGATCTGCGACAGATACCAGCCCAGGGACACCTCAGGTCTGAGTCTGCTTACAAAATGAGATATACGACGGACCAAAACTACTGAAGTGTTTGTAGGAAATTCGTATGGAAGAGAGAATAATTATATAATATCAGAAAGAACTTTAGTGATTCGAATTCCGGAGCGTTCCTCATAGTGTCAACACTGAGATAAGACGTCTCCCAGCATGTATGGGTTATATTAATCTGATTATAATTCATACGAGGGCATAGTAATGAAATGTCGAATATTAATCATAAAAAAAGTTTATAATTATTCAATTTATTCTCCAGCATCCTTAGCATCCGTTATACAATTTTTAATGTTCTCAAGAAAATTATAGAATCACTTTTTCCATCCGATACCTCTAAAACAGGAACACTTCAACAGCATCTTCTGGCGACGGAAATGTCTTATGTGGAGAATAAATCGAAATCAGTGGGTGACAATTCAGGATTGTAAGGTGAATTAATCATCACTTCCACATGAATTGGGCAATTTAATTCCTAAGTCGGCAAAAGGGACTACGTTATTCGTCAAGTTCCATAGATCTTTTTATGTAAGGGAACCCCAATCAATACCAATGCTTGTTAAGGTTTGTAACTTTGCACATATATATTTGAAGATTTAAAAGAGAAGAAAAATAATATACAAAACATTTTTGTTATTGTTTTGTTGTTGTTTTTTGTAATTTAAGAAAAGTCCTTATTTTTAATGGCGAACATGATAACTCCTCACTGGAACATCGGAATCCGAAAATTCCAACAGTGTTAGAAAGAGTACCTGTCTGGCTCTCGTATGAACTAGGATTATTGACTTCGCTCTAAAATTAACAAAATGGTGGACCTTTGTAAAAATATTTTTGAAAAATCGCCGAATTTTGACCAAAAACCAAGTTAAAAAATAAGGAAGATCTTCGCCGATTGGCTTTATCCTAGTTCATACGATAGCTATACACTCACAGAGAAACGTGTAACAATTTGCAATCGATTGGGTTATTATTATTTTTTGAGTTATCGTGCCCGCCATTCGCAAAAGAGAAAAACGCGTTTAAAGTTGGAGAAGCCCTTTAGCCGTCACTTGATGCTGACACAATAAATCGGCTATATCTTCAAGGGTTCTTGAGATTTTCACTTGAAATGTTGTAGGGACATTCTTGAATTAGTGTAAATTCGAATTAAATAAAAAATTTGACCCCGAGAATGGATGGGGTCCCCTTAAATCGTTAAATCGAACAAGAAAATCTAAATGAACGATTTGGATCAAAAGAAACTAGCTGAACGAGAGGAACAAAGAATCTATATGAAGAAAAGAATCGGACCTAGTACAAATCGTTCCTTTTGAAGAATTGATAAATTGTTCGTTCCTAAACGACCCTTGTTGAAGTTAATGTGATAGAGCTCGCATTATCGTGGTGCACAATGATTCTATTTCTCTTCTTAATTGTTTGAATTACTCCGAAGACTTCAGACAAGCAAATTGTGGTATACTACTCCTAATTCACCGTCCTACAAGCGGAAAAGTCGTCAGATGACCATTTGTTTCGATTTTTTTTTGTATTTGTCTTTTCTTAGAAAAGCCTTACTGTCGATTGCGGTTTTGTGTCAGCCGCATTCGCATTGATGATTATCGTTGATTCGAAGAACCGTGATCGCTTTCTTTTCAAAATTTATTTACATCATTCCACACGAGTCGGTTTTGGGGCGATTGTCAAATTTTGCGGGATCTAAGTTGAACAAACCTATTTTACGGCAATACAAATGTACAGCCTGGTGGCAGAAATGTCCAAGGATGGCTCTATCTTTCTCAAGGATGACTGTATGTCACATGATGATCTAGCATGTTCTGTGGCACAACGCCCTTTTTTGTAGACCTTTACATCTTTGAGCGAGCCTTGACCACGATTGAAGTCATTGAATCAGTTTTTACAGTGTTTTTAGGATGGCGCTTCATCGTTACATACAAAAATGTATGCCCATCTATGTTATATTTCGGATATTTTTATATGCTAGCCAATTTAGGGTCGTTTAAATATCTTTTATATGGAATTGGACAATTGGCGTTTTATATCATTACTCATTCTTTTGAACTAAACTTTGTTGTATGAGAAAATTTTCGTGACAAGAGGGCTGTCGTATCTTCTCTTCTTGAGTGAAAAAGTCAAATATTAGACTGGTAAATCTTTTGTTGAATTTTACATTTTATCAAGTCCAAAAATACTTATATTAACCATAGAGCGGTCCTATGAATATTATGTGATATTTAAAGCCAGCAAGTTTTTGATTCGATGAGTTTACTATCAACTTTATATGACAAATGCGAGAGCTATCGTGCACACCCCACAGGCAGACGGCGTGCATTTCTAAATCGATTCCTGATTTGGTCCAATGACACGTAGTGTCTACAAGGAATATTTCAATTATGTTTTCGGCCAAAATATAGTCCTGATTAACATTAGAATAATGTCAGATAGTGGCAATGTATGCCTATTCATACATTTCGATGTAACATTGTTCCTGGAGGTTTAAAAAAAAAATTTTAATTTGCAATTTCAGACTTCTCTGTCTGTATTTTCAAGCCAGATATTCACTTCATGGTCGACATTTGAAATAAATAATTGAAAGCCAATATATAACAAAATATTCCTCTTCCTGAGATAGCTTTCTTTGCAAAATAATGGGTAACTCAAAATTAAAATAAATTTTTCCCTTTACAAAAACCACCACGGCGACCACTTCTGATGCTACTTCTCGGATCATTTCGGGGCATTTGTTGTGACTCGGACTTCTCATTTTGCATTTGTGTTTGATTTTTCTCCGCTCTCTGCTTTGGTGGGGATACCTTTCCAACTTCTTCTCCGCCACCATCATCTCCTCCCCCATCATTTTCTTTATTTGGCAGTGATATGACTTTTTGCATTGGTGTAGGTGTTGGTGTAGGCGCATGTTGTGGTGTATCGTCGTCATCCAACATCATTAGTCAGCTAAAATCCGGTCCGTCGCCATCATCCGAACAACCTGATATTGTTTTGTGGAATGTTGCCGGTGCCATGAGAGCACGAGCCGCAATCATTTGGAAATTCTCGGAGGCTCTGAAACCACTGCGTGTACAAACACAACGACAGACGATGCGTTTAAAGGCGATGCGAAACTCGTGAGAGAACAGGGCGTAAATGAGAGGATTTATGGCAGAATTGCAGTAGCCCAGCCAGAAGAGTACTGAGAAGACGGTTGGTTGGATGCATTGTTCGCAGAAGGCTCTTATCAGATACATGGTGAAGAACGGCAACCAGCAGAAGATGAAACCGCCAACAATAATGGCCAGCGTTTTGGCAGCTTTGGTCTCCACTTTGAAACGTTTCACCTGAAATTTGACAGATCTTTTACCACGATGTTTTTTATTATCGTTCTTTTTGGCCACCATATTAAAACGATTTGGATGTGACTCCATGGGTCGGGCATTCGGTGAGGTGGATGAATGTGAGGCGGCTGGTGATTCTGCTGTTGATGTTGCCGAATCTACATTGAAGGTGGTTTCTCCAATATCCAGGAGGCTACTTTTAAATGAACTACGTCGTCCATTGGTCAGTGGCGATACATTGGAGGCCGCTGCCACTGTTGTACTAACTACCGAAGCATAGGTGGGTGGTGTACTGTTTATGGACATATTTGAGTCCAATACATTTTCCGACGAGGGAAATGACACCTTTATCGAGATTTTCTCATGTCTCTGTCTAGGAACTCTCATTGATGTTGCCCTCTTGGGTATTGTCGATGCATGCATGTGGCCACCCATGCCAGCCGACTGGTGGTGCAGTGGCAACATTTCCTCATTATTACTATTGACACTCAGTGTTGAGGACATCGAGTGCACTGAGAGCGGGGTACGCTGCGGTGTCGAGCACGGTCTTCCCCTGTGTATTCTCAGCACCAGTTGTTGTGATTCTTCTTCACGATTGGCACGACTGGATGATGATTCCTGAGTGCATCCTGTAACATAGTAACACATTGTGGAAGTGGTTGATAAGGGTAGTTGTTCTTAAAGTCATTTCATAAATTGGAACAATTGGATGAATGCAAATGGGGAACAATTTAGAGAAAGATACAGAATTAAGAAGTAGGAGAATCAAAAATTACAACGTTGACAACATTACCAAGACAAAATGGAAATGGAACAACATTCAGATGGTGAACACTGGGTTAGAGACTAGATAAAAAATGTCTAATTTTATTATAAAAAAACGTACTTTCAACCACAACATTCATAAGAGGGACATACAGAAAAAATGGTGTTAATAAAAACAATTTGATTTGGTTTTTGTATGTTATATAATAAAAATGCATTTATAAAAATTGAGGACAAGAGAAAAAACATGTTTACAAAATATGGTTTTCAATATGTTTAGTTACAAATGTACAAAATTTGTTACAATTAGAGATTAATAATACAAAAAAATATGAAGAGAAAAAACAACAAATAATAACTATTAAAAGACATTGCTATTAAATTTAGATTCTTTGGATTTGGTATGGGTAAAATGTGTGACACACAAAAAATGGTTTAAATTACAAGGTTTAATATTCAAGGCAAAAAGGATTTTTATTGGAAAAAAATAATTGTTACTTACTTTCTTGATTTCAATGAATATCATACAATACTGAATATTTTTCGAATTAAAGCTCATATAATTATAAATCAAATAAAATACCTATTAAACTATCATACGTTTCGTTTGAGTTCCTTCAAACCCCCTAATAGTAGTCTGACATTTAAATGGGCCCATTTTATTTTATACCGAGCTATTACAGGTATTTTAAGTTTCGACCTTTTGGCAGAGGGTATAAAAAGTACGGTCCGGCCAACTTTACTACACAAATTCCCATATCACAAGTTCAATAATCTAGTTCTAGTCGTGAACTCAATCTACCAGTACACTTTGAGTGCGAATTTCTGAAAAACACCATATATATAAAATATACAAATTTTTTACGATCACCATACCAAAGTTCGAGATTCTTAGTACTATTTATGTATTTCGTTTATTTTAATACACACTTTATAGCCATTTCGATAAAACGACTCTTTTTCATATCCCTAATCCATCCAGCAATACCCATACTCAGTTCTTAGATTTAAACTTCATCCGTTCTCCATTTCAATTAGACATCATCGTCTTATCTCAATTCCAGACACAATCAGTTCCAAGAATTCCACCCATATTTTGACCTAATCCGCCACCTCGCTTACCCAATACTTATGGTAGGAAATGTAAATGTTTCGTACACTATTAGCACAAATTTTCAAAACCCCTTTGATTCCTTCACCCTACACTATATGTTAGATTCTTATAGGTATAAGGAACTAGTAGGAATTTGATAACTCTGATATATTTCGAATACAAACTAACTTTTGTCCGGATTGTCATCATTATATAAATTTGTAGCAAGTTCGCTATAACCGAATTGTAATAAATTAAAAAAAAAGTTCGCTACAACCGAAAATCGTTATAAGAGTAAAGATTTGTATGAAAAAATATATGTTAAAACTTCGGGACCAGGAAAAGTGTTTGCTACAAAGAATGTTCGTTATAACCGTTGTTCTTTATAAGCGTAATCGACAGTACCAATTTCTCTCTTTCAAAAAAAAAAAAAATCGACAGATTGTTGAAAAGTGGATCATTAAACCTCGGAATTTGTCTAAATTTACCATTTTTAAGTTTTAACCCCTTGCATCTACGGATATGATCGGATAAATATACCGCAATTTCAACTAAAAAGGAATACTGTGGAATTGGCCTACGATTAACCGTTTTGCACCTAAGTGCTTTTTATGCAATGTACATTATAAGACTAGTCGAGACTAGGTCAGCCAAAAGATAATAAATATTTTATTAGGCATTCATTGGTAAGATGTACATTTCCAACACCACACAAAGGTTAAAAAATTTTAAAAATGTTGACACTGGGTGCGATACACCAGAGGGTACAAACCGACAGGTCCCATCTTCGGACATAATCTAGGCGAGGAAATTGGAAAATTTGACCCTTTGTAGGGCAGACACCAGAAGTGAATCAACGGGTCCCATCATTGGATATAATATCGGTAAGCTAAACATGTTACAATGTGCAAAATTTCGATAAAATTGGAAATGCAGTTCGTTTCATATAAGATTTACAAACTTTCCAAATGTTGACCCTCTGTCGAGGATGTACTATAAAATGCTTTTTCAGCACACTTTTGACCATTTTTTGAAGGAGGTACCAAAATGAGTTTACCGATATTCCCCAATTTCAAACATTATTTGAGTTTGAAAGAAATATTACGATGTGCAAAGTTTATATCAAATCGGTCATACCATTCGCCTTATATAGGATTGTTATATATTGAAATTATGACCAGTGTGTGGAGGAGGTTGGAAGAAATATTATGATGTGCAACGTTTGGGTGAAATCCGTTACTCGAGTTATCGTGCGCACCAGCCAGACGTCTGTTTGTCTGGCTGGTGCGCACGATAACATTTTTAAATCTCCAGATTTTTTGAAACGAATTTGGACTAAAAAACATGGGGCCTAAAACCAATATGTCGTATATAGGAGCTATATCTAAATAAGAACCGAGCCAAATAAATAAGTAGTGCCAAGTTTCATTCAATTCGGATCATAAGTACGACCTTCTTAAATGGACTCAAAAAATTATTCCATGCATTTATTCAAAAGTAATCATGTCTTATTCAAAAGTCTTCTTCTTGGCATAACCGCCATTTATTTTCGTCGTCGATTTTAATGGAATTCGATAGTAAACATTTTGAAACTGAGGAAACCCGAAAATTAAGCCACAATATTGACAGGTGTGAGCGTGACAAACCCCTTTCTACAATTTGGAAAATACACTTTTTTTCAATTTTTTGTAATTTTTTTTGTTAATTGCAATTGACCTATTTTTTCTCAGATACTAAATTGTAGGAAAATTCAATCTGTAGTGGACTAGAACGTTTTGGGAATAATAAAGAACTAGGTTTCTTATTTGCAAAAGTTGACTTAGAGTGGATCTTTCAGCCCATTTATCTTTACCAGGTCGTTTAAAATTTGTTTGTGTTTCCCTTACAATTTTGCATGTCTATCTGTTTGTTGATATCACGCAATTTTCATATGGAAAAATAAATTAAACTTTTTGGAATTTTGGATTCGCCGGAAATCGGGTTATATTACCATTGGAACAAATCTTAATCCGTTCAAAAGTTACAGACGTTTGGCCAGGAAAAAACTATGTGATCTATTTTAATTTCCAAGGAAAAAGAATTGGGTTTAATATGATATGTTGGGTTTCCTACCGAAAATTTAATTATTATTTTTTTTTTTTGCATTTTGGATTCACCTGGAAGCGGTTATGTTAACGATTTAACATGTTGACTATGCCCTATGTTACCTTTGTTAGGGTATTATCGAAAATGTCAATGGGAATGATAATTTTAGTATTATTTGTCCTCAGTAGATCAAGTTTTTGGCAGAATAAATCGACTTCATGATAAACTTTGTATAAATTTTAAATTCTGAAGTGTACTATTTTAAAAGTCGTCGGAAAAATTATCCGCATACTAATAACAATTTCTTTAAACTTTCCAAACTGAATTTTAACATTCTTGATACATGTTCATCCAAAACAATTGTAATAAGTTGGCATAATCAGCTTCTTATTAAAACATAGTAATCGCCGTACAAAAATTCTAAATTCCAGCTACTTTCGGTAACAGAATATTTTTTTTTTGTCCCCTTTACAATATTTTGTGTAGTTAAAGTAAGAAATTCGATGATTCCAAGTTTCAAGATTCTATGTCTATTATTTTACTTAGTACTAAATGCACTAATTCCTCTTATCTCATCATTAAACAGAAACCGCATTCTATGTACTCAGTTTATAGATTCCAGATCTATACATTCGCGCAATACTTATTATAGATTACTTCAATGCAAATCACCAAACCAACATCTCCATCTTTACTTATATCAGAACTGATGATAATAAATGTGGATAACTTTTTTTGTTCTCTTTGTATAAATGTTGCTCCTTACCTCAACCCAATAGACCAACAAAGACAATCATAGCTTCAATAATACACAAACTTTTTAATCCAACTTTTTACGTTGCTTATTGTAATGCCAAATTTTATTACTCTATTGTGTTTTTCATAAGACACGTAGAATATATGCCCTGTGGATATGGTATGTCAATTATGTTGAAAATTCTACATATTAATTGCTGCAATAGATAGTTGTTCCTCTTGTCCTATAAAACTCCCTAAAACTGAAAAAAATACCACCTTACGTATGAGTATTATTTAAAATATTCAGTATTGCGTATACGCCATGAGGTGCATATTATGAACCACAACAATTTTTACCTCTTTTTGAAACAAACAAATATTCATTCATTACAAAGTCGGATTTAAATACAATAGCAAAAGTTTTTCTTTTAACCGAAAAAATGTCTCGTTTAATTTGTTTTCACTCCATAAAATGTTACCAAGTTTAATTAAAACCAATTACCAAAGAATTTTTTTGCACAAAACAGTAAACAAACAAAAAAAAACATAATTAAATTTTGAAGTTAAGACAAAGCATGTTTTGTGTTGTTGTTTTGGTGGAACATAAATTACGAAATAAATTTGTTTGTAAAAAACAACAAAAGAAATAAATTTTTACACTTCTTTTTTCAAGAAATTGCACGCCAATGACAAGATGAAAATAAAAACGAATAAGATTTCAATTCAAGGACAAAATTTGAGAATGCAAATAAATACAAAAATTTTGATAAATATTTAACAAAGTATGAAATTTTTGATTGTTACACAATTTTGTATTGTTGTTGTGTTGTGTTGTTATGTCAGTTATAATGTTCGTTTTTGTGTATATTCCTCTTCTTCTTTGCTTTATGAATGCTTCAATTTCCACATAATTTTCCTTGGAATGGAATTTTTTGTATTATTACTATTTACAGATTAGTCTTAGGCC